CCATTGTTGCAAAAGAGTAACTCGGCGTGAACTGGAAACATCATACAGAAAATTTAGGAAATGATTTTTTTAATATGCTGTAATGGCACTGCAGATAGTATTGCCTGTGAATGCCGAGCGTGTACAATTAGTTACAATTACAATTGAGCGCTTAAAATTTGCGTTAGGGCGTTAGGAACGAATCTGGGTAATCGATTTGCCGCACGCGGCTGTCGCGGACCACTCATTCGCCGTTACTACAGCTCTACCGTTCTTCATACAGCTCAATGGATATGCAATCCTTACTTTATGCATAATTCTACTATTAGTACTTTTGATCTTGTATTTCTTACCTACTGCTGCATCCTGCTACATTCCTTCGCGCGCGACGCGACCATTTCGTTCCTAACGCACCACACCCCGGTTCCATAACAGTTCACTAGGCTCACCTATACGGGCAAGGCCTAAAGCGCTTCTGAAACTAGGGCCGATAAAGGGGGCTATAGTTATGGCATAAATTTTTATACTGCCAGGATACCTAGTGATCTATTTGCTCTGTAAAGCTCGGGTGTAGCGCAGTAGCAACGAAATTGTCGCGTCGCGGCGACAGAGACGCCGCGCGCGAAGGAATGTAGCAGAATGCAGCAGCAAGTAAGAAATATAGAAGCGAAAGAATTAACAGTAGAATCATGACTAAAATAAGGGTAACGTTTCGATTGAGCTGTAGGAAGGACGCCAGAGCTGTAGGAAGGACGCCAGAGCTGTAACAGAGTATGTAACGGCGAAGCGAAGTCCGCGACAGCCGCGTGCGGCCAATCGATTACAGAAAATCGTTTCTAACGCCCGTCTCCCGTAAAGCTCTGCTGTTTCTGAAGGCTCATGTTCTTTTCGAATGACTAACCTCTTAACTTCTTGTCACAAATGAGGGAACTACGGAAAAAATGATAGACGTACTCAATGCTAATACCTCTCGAATTAACTGAGGTTCTCAAAAAAAAATTTACGCCCTAACAATAAATATTGCAGTAGGCATGCACTTTGAATGTGACTCACCAGTGAAAAACACAAAGACGAAGGAAAGAATAATTGTTCGATCGATCATTCCTGAAAACTGTATAATTATAAGCTTTCCTTCGGCCGATTATCATGGGTAAAAGGGCGAAGGCGATGTAGTGGCAAGTGGCGCATTATCATGACGCATAGTTACGGGCTCGAATCCCGGATCGGTACCCGCCCGAGCCAACAAGGCCATCCATTCCTTCGTGGTCGGTTAGTTGGCGCCAGACGTTACTGGGAGGATAAAAGCACTGACTTCTACATCGGCTGGTCACCTTAGGTCATTGTATAGGTCACATACGCATACCATAAGCCCCTGGATTTCGAATAGAAGTCGAAAGGTTGGGGGAGGGGGAAAAGTGGGATGGGCGGAGTTGATCAAAGCTCAAAGACTCTGAAGAATTTTTCATGGGTATGGTTACAGGGTCGTTTTGAAGGAGAGTTCTGATCTATTGATAGCAAGAAAACCAGAAAAAGGGGTATCAGATGCCTGATGGATCTTCGCGAACCGTACGAAAGGCATCCAAACAATACGCTATGCTTTCAAAGAATGCTTTTTGAATTGCCGATTTTTTTTGCAAGACTTTTCACATCCATTGAATTCAGCAGCCATTAAATTCTTAATAGATTTCAGCAGCAAGCTATAAAATCGTTGTTGCTATAAAGTTTTTGCATTTTCGCGATTCCTCTATTTTTTCACACATAAAATGAATTCAGAAACAATTTTTACGTCATCATTAAAGCATTTTGACTCCTAGCGCTTGACGCTATTGAGCCTTCAACAGAACGNTGTACGCCTCTGTCTCTGTATGAAAAGAAAAATGCAAACTTCGTCACGCAAATATCAAAGCTCGCCATGATTGAATGGAATATGACGAATGGGTAGCTAACGGAGTGGTCCAATAACATTCCTTCTTGAATTGAGTGGACGATTGAGTGAGTGTACGGAACGAACGAATGAAGGAATACAAGAGGGAATGAATGAAGGAACGGACGATAGAGTGAATGAGTCAGTGAATACATGAATGATAAACGGTGTTAGTAGCAAAGTTTTTAGTATCTGAATAACTGGAAACATGTTGTCAATGCCAAATGATATCACCCTGCTGAAATGTGTCCCGCCAGTATCGACTGATTGATTTCTTAGTGCTGATTTTTTCACCCCAACCGCCTGTATGTTCTACCATTGAGACGGCTCCCATAATTTTGAGGTACCCCGTTTTTATTCGAAAAGCGGAAGTATAGGTTGGGAGTAGTCCATCAATAGTGAAGAAAGCGAAAGAATTCGCCGATTTCAAGAAAAATATGGCTCCTTAAAAGGAGGGAATAGAGGTTGGACGAGATTGCCATGACAGAAATAACATGGAAGGGGTATTCGGACGAGATTAATGTTATTGCAATTGCACAAAGAGCTGACTACATCAAGCCTGAACTGTACAGAACTGTCTTTCTCTTCGCTATGGGTCATGATAGGTAGTTCCTTCATGGGTTCCTTTGTGATCGGTGCAGCCCCTACAATGCCAGTGAAACTCGTCCGGGGATACACACGGGCCAATCTTTGGCTTTTATAACTTCCTAACTAGGCCGTTTTCCGAGCTGATAGTGCCAAATATGATATTCGCGGTGGCCTCAAATTCATCCTGTTAGGGTATCTCAGGAACCATTTTTATCGTGAACTGTGACTTCGTAACTACAAAATATAGTCAAGCCATGATTACGTGGTCAATCACACTACAAATCGATATAAAATGGGATCAATAAATTGAAGTCACCGTGGTCAAATTTGTATCTATGCTATGGTTTCCAACTAAATGAAATCATACCGGACCTAGGCCCCAGACCTAGGCCCCATAGCCGAACGAATCCCAGCGTGAGTAGCGAAATCAACCAGGCAGTGTCAGAAGACAAATCAGAAATGGACGTGGCATACTCCATTTGAACGGACGTCTCGGGGAAGTGGTTTTTCTTCTACTCAATTGCCTTTGTCTGTTCCATAACGTCACAGTCGTCGAAGTTCATACCATGGACCAATTGTTGCGTCATCTTTTTGTTCAGCGACATCGAGAGGCTTGAGAAACTACGTCTGTAGCTGACTGTGTATCCTTGATTTCTTTCATTCTTGTTTATAAGGTGGGCCTTATTTCGTCTGCGTACGCAATAATTCCTAGGTCCTGGTCCGTGAGTGGTTAACACCCTCGAAATACCTATACCGTAACTTCATGATGTTGGGCTTTCAAAAAAAANNNAAAAAAAAGCCTTTCATCGCAACCGGTTATGTGGTAACTTGGAACGGGAAGCCACTCGAAAAAGCTTTCTGAGTAGGAGATCATCCTCCTTTCTGAGAGTATTGACTCATAATAATCTTTCTATCGAGAATTATGCTTAAATTCCTTGTAAGCAATGTTTTCCTAAGGGTGCTGGGTGAAGTTTGTCCTATATAAATGTAATTGTTGATATTAGGGCTGGAGGTGGTGTAGTGGCAAAAAGCGCACTATCACACACGCTTAATCACGGGTCTGGATCGATATCCAGGGCCAACAAGCCTTCCATTCATACGGGGTCGATTAATTCATATCGTACTCGTCTGGGTGGATAAAACACTGGCTTTTACTCAGCTGACCAGGGCAAGTCATTGTATAGACCACATAGGCATTTAATACGTCCCTACAGTTCTGAATGAAAGTCTAATGCTGGGCGCATCCCTCAGACGAGAATGATTGGCGCCCTAGATTATCCCTTAGACTTCAGGCTTGATCTCTGATACGCTTGGGTTGCTAACGTGGTCTCAGGAGTTCCACCCCAAAGGCTCATTTCTTCAGACTTTTACTCTTGTTGTTGTTGTCATTGTTGATAGTTGAGTGCAACATCTTTGAAGAGAACAATCGAGCATATTTATTAAAATCAAGCTTACAGTTTGTACAAAAGAAAATTCTCGCAAATTTTCTTATGCCGTTGTCGATTGATCTGTTGGTTTGTTTTGATCGATACTTTTCTGGAGCGACTTCAATTTCCTGAAGCAATTTCTTGTTACTATTATTAGTAGTCATATTTATTGTTTTGGATTCTGAAAAATTCGGTCTGTAGACTCGGGCTAGAATGAATGGGTAAAAAAATTGTCCGAAATCGCATGGATTTTATCCTACCTGCGGCAGGATGACCATCCTTAACGACCATCCTTAGTAGGAGCTGAGACAGAACCGGCGATGTAGGACAGCTAGCTAAGAGCTGTCCATAGCTGGTTTTGTCTTACATACTTGATCATTCAAAGTCAAAATCTTGGTTCACCAATAGACAATGAGGAAGTTGACACTCCAATGAATGACCCCAAAACCGCGGAGGTGGCCGTCAATCCTCATTGAGTCTCTACTAATGTAAGCTCTCGGAGTTAGTAAGAGACCCACTACTTTCTTGTCGGCCGCTTGGTATCTAATCCGTTCAAGAGGATAAAACACTGACCTGGATAGATTCTAGCTCATTCAAGTCGAAGTTAACACTTACCAGAAATGGTCTTCAGGTAGTAATCCACTTTTTAACGTTGGGCATCTCAATATTATTATACTTTCTTGTAGAGCAATCTCGATAAAGACTTTTCACTCGGATAGTTAGGTAGACATATGCTTAGCCACTTGATTAAAGTTTGCTAGTTTAGTTTAGTTAGCTTAATCTGATGACTTCATTTTTTGCTCCAGTTGAAAGTTCAATTCAGAAATCTACCGTAAAAAGTGGGCTGGCTACCTGAACAAAAGGGGTAAAGGGCATGATCCAGCTGCGTAGGGCACCGCCGCTCCTCTTTACAATTTCTGGAGCTTGAACAGTTGTTAGCATGATTAGAAAGCATCAACTTATTAACAGTTATCCATCTTGGCTCCCACTCCCCCTCCCCCTCCCCCTTTCTCCTCAGTCCAAGCTGAAGGAGAACAGAATACTCTGGTGCCATAATTCGGACCCCACCACATTGCTGTCGCTACTCATTCGGGGCAGGTATTGGGATTGGTCTACGAAAATCGAGATCCAAGCACATCACAGCACTCCACAACACAATGATTTCTGGTGTTAGTCCTTTTTTTCCACACTCACACGCAAGTCTCCCTTGGAACGCAACCCTGTTCGATGTCTTTGGATAGTTGAACATGTCCCTCTTTGCACATACAGGCAGGAGGTCCGCAACGTAGCGAGAAGCAGGATGACACCTAATACACAAAATTCGATTTTGGCCAATAAACATGTAAACATTGCTGGAGATGCTATCTGTTACCTTATCAAAATTACTGCAGGTTTTTGCTGGGCAAATATTTGTACATTCACGATATTCGGCGTTTTTCGGGCATACGACTAAAAAGATTTGTTGATTTATTTTGTGCTTCTCAAAGGCAGCACAACGCCATCCGGGGACGTTCTCTTCCGGCTTTGGGTGACCGTAATGCGTAATGAAGTAAAGATGTAAGTTATGGCTCAAAAACACACTCACCAGAAGATTTCTTGGCGGTTTCTCGGCGTTTATGTCGCAGGGGTTTGTCAGATTTGCAGGTGCGCACGGGAACAAGACAGTCGTACTTGTCCAAGGTCTAAAGGATGTCTATCGTAGTTCGCTAATACATCGTATTCATTATATGAAACTCAGAGTATCTCGTATTTGAAATAGCTAGCGTTCTACTTACTCATTACTCCGAGAGTCGATTCTGGAAAAGGATTGAGGAAAAGGACGAGAAAGATTGGGTAAGGGAGCTCTACGTGCATGTAGTTATTGTAGGTTGTTCCTATAACAACAGACATGGGCTCCTACTCACTCCCAGAATGTCCAGAAGCCACCGGGTAATGCTGTACGCCCATCAGGACTTCCAGTCACTTGGAATAAGGGAATCGTGGAGCACTCCATCAGAAATCACCACATCGCTAAATTTGGACAAAACCTTGCAGATACATTCCGTGGTTATTATGCAGTGATTTGTTCCAAAGATCAACTGAAAGCAACGCTGGATGAAACTGGGCCTGCTCATCTTTGGGATGTTCATGATCAAAGAAGCTATTCAGCTTTAACTGTGTGCACGCAACACCAGTTGTTGGTTGATTGGCTAGGATTGAGGATCTCACCATTCGGTCAGTGCATCCTTCCTGTTTGGGAAGGACCAGATTCGGGCAATCTCTCCTTGGAATACACGTGGTCGTATCGTGATCGCACTCATATCCAGGTTCACAGTAAATCGCTCCACACTCTGCAATTATGTTGCTCTTGCCTCAGTTGCAAGCTAAGCAAAACTTTGCTCAAGTCCCTGAGAAGGGATGAACTCAAGAAGGAGAGGAAGAAGGAGTAGAAGAACGAACTGAGGTTTTCTTTGCTGCAAACGATTTTTGGCATCGGACAGCCTCGTTCATCTACCACGGTCAGCATTGTACAACCTGATTTCAAACGAGGCATCGAAAGCATAGGACAGTCAGTACGAACTGAAATATCCTTCCTGTTTGGGAAGGACCAGATTCGGGCAATCTCTCCTTGGAATACACGTGGTCGTATCGTGATCGCACTCATATCCAGGTTCACAGTAAATCGCTCCACACTCTGCAATTATGTTGCTCTTGCCTCAGTTGCAAGCTAAGCAAAACTTTGCTCAAGTCCCTGAGAAGGGATGAACTCAAGAAAAAGAAGAAGAAAAAGCGGAAGAACGAACTGAGGTTTTCTTTGCTGCAAACGATTTTTGGCATCGGACAGCCTCGCTCATCTACTACCGTCAGCATTGTACAACCTGATTTCAAACGAGGCATCGAAAGCATAGGACAATCGGTACGAACTGAAATTAGTCTCTTTTTCAGTCCTAAGAGGAGAATGGGATTCGAATTTTAAGCAGTTCAACGTTTTTCTGTATACCTATTATTTATTCGATCTTCCCATTTATTTTTTTCTACGGAAAAATGAAATATCTAGTCTGTAAGCTGTTGAATTTGACGGAAAACTCACGAACACAAGTTCCATCTTCACACCGAAGTCCTGGAGCGCACTTGCCATCCTTCGAACAATCGAAAGGATCTGCGGCATGGACTGAAAATGACCCGTATTTTCTATAATATCCTCGAAACTGCCTACAATCCGATACTCAGAACGGAACCGGGTAATCAGAAAAGTTTGAAACGTCTTTTTCGATCTGTTACCCGTCAAGGTCGGTGCTAATTCTCCAGAAGCAGTTAAAATGCTCCCGAACGGAATGATGCCATCGTTGGCTGTTAAGTCCAGGATCATTGCAATAGCTGACCCCCTATGGGAATTCCCATAGAATTGTCATGGTTTGAATTATGAAGTTTTCAAAGCAATTAAGGCAGTTCTAGCATGATTAGAGCTGAGGCAGTGAATAGCTCCGTCTTCCCCTCCCTCTCCGCCTCACCTTCCCCCTCTACCAACCTCACCATCGTCAACTGAGCAGGCTTTAGATTGTCGAAGCGTGGTTTCCTTCCAAAGTATATCCCTCCTGTAATCCACCTAGAGTACCGTAACTGCTGCCTTGTGAAGGTGGCGGATTTTGAAGAGCAATTCCCGCGACAGACGGCAGCGGTTTCGCGACGATTACCGTAATCTTCCACTGAGAATTCATATGTTCCCATTCACAGCACGCGACAGAGGTGGGGCGGGCACGGCACGGCGTTTTGGTATGATATTCTACACCCGGTTGCAAGTTAAGAAGAACCTATGAAAGGGCTGGATTACTGTGTTCGGTACAGGTGCTGGAATAGGGTTCCACTCGAATTCCTCGAGTGGAACCCTATTCCAGCACAAGTTAGCAATTTGAGTGAACTCACCAGTAAGAATCACAAAGGCGACAAGAAGTATAACTGTTCCAGTCATTCCTGAAAGAAACCGCGGTCAAACAATTCATTTTCTTTTTATCAGTTACTAACGGCACAGCCACAAGAACGCACTGAATAAAGGAAATGATTCATTGATGGGAAGAAATTCGAGAAATTTGATATTTATGATATTTGTGCTCAGTGTATGAAAAACATCTCAGCAATTAATAGTATCGGAAGCGAAGGAATAGACAGGGTAGAACCGAATGGGTCAGTGAAGGATGCATAGTCCGGGAATCGAACCAGTGATTGAATTTTCTCGCTAGTCAAATCTTCCCATCTTCTAGAGTGGTTGATTGATACCAATTTGTTTGGGCAGGTGAAAGTACTGATTATATATAAATTCATTAGCCGACGCTAGTCATAATATGGGCCCAGTGTGCATTCAAACATCACAACGATTTTGAAACAATTTTGAACGCAATGGCACGTTCCAGGGATCGATCGAAGCTCAGGATCTATGGGACTTTAGGCTTGTTTTTTGGTTCGCTTCCCATCAGAGGAGCTCAACACATGATTCCTCTCCGTCATGCGCTTGACTTGGGAGGCACTGCGTAGATCCATAAAACTCTATTGGGAATGGAAAATGGATATGCAAATTTTGAATACATACAAACGTTCCAAAACTGAATTAATAACCACTAAAACCTCGTCCCATAACATTTCAATGATGCATCTTTTATATGGATTCTGACAGATGTTAATGGAAAAAAGGCAAGGAATTAGTTCTTAGGATTTCACGTTCGGGACATTGGCCGATCATGTCAGAAGTCAGTGACTCGGAAACAACATCTTTGGTTAACCAGAAAATTCTGCAGACGTACCCATTGCACTAACGCATTCGCATTAAATGCATTACAAAGACAGGCACGTTTCCAATAAAAAACTGTTCTTTGGAATGATCAAAGTGGTAGCGGATGGCTCCAAAGAAATGGGAATGAGCATCCTTGAAAATGCATTGCGCTTAATCGAATTTCTCATTTTCTCTCTTGTTCTCTTTTCCGACTAAACTCTTCTGATTTCATTTTCTGATTTGTCTCGTCGGTTTCTTATGAACGCCCAGGTCTCCTATGTAATTCTCACTCAGGCCGGTGTAAAGTCCAGGCAATGGTCTGTGGGGAACGGACTGTTGCTAAGGGTTGGATACTCTGGGGATGTCAGAGGGGCCCCTACTCATTGTGACTTCAATCAGAGGGCTTTTAACAGGGAGTTGGACGAAATCGAAGCACAAGTTGAGAGTTCTATATGAACTTAGAAGTAGAACGAACTGGAAACGTATTTACAAAAGTCTGAGAGATCAGAGGATGGGAATGGTGAGTTCAAGAAAAAGCTTCGAAGTAAAGCTCGGTTCCAAAGTGGCAAACAGACCAATGAGTGGTTTGGCCTTGTTTGCTGTTCGATTGGTCGACTATGAGGCTTCCTTTTGAGTCATCAGAGCTATTTCTTTAATGTGATTTGAATTAAATGGTTGCTCAAAATTCTCCGCTAACAATCCGTGAACAGCAGTTAAAATTGTTGATGACCGAGCAAATCGAAATCGATTATGCGATTAGTTGGAAGAATTNAGAATTCATTGATCGGCGGCATGTTGGCTGTTTTCCCTTCCCACTCAGCTATCTATTATGTATTTTTAGCAGTAGTGAAATGCCATCATACTGATGCACTCGTATGTATACATATAGGGTCCAGTAACAATTTAGTTAACTGTGAATATTTTCATTTTGCCACAGAAAAGGAGAATTTTGTGAATACACTGCGTCCTGTTCCCACCCATGCAGTTCAAAGATAGGTTCATATCTTGGTAAATCAAGCTTGAGGTCAGTAATCCCATAACGATTGCTGAGCGGATACCCCCATGGATTGTAATTGGACCGTGTCAGACTGTCTTAGGCATTCCACCTCTCCAGAACTTACTGTTGGGACTAGGTAGGCTCCCATGTGTAAGACTATTTAAGGCATACCACCTCTCTAGAACTTACTGTTGGAACTAGGTAGGCTCCCAAGATCCCCAAGTCGGGTTTTTAGTAGTCGAACGCATTGGTCTAGGTTCATTGAAAGTAATCGGGAGTAGTCTCTCAGGACCAAGTGATGAGTGAACAAAGTGCACGTTGCAAGATATAAAAAGTCAGACAGTCTTGGAAGGATAATTGGTCGGAGGATTCGGAACGGCTACACTACCGACTATGATCTTTCTTTTGTCAACCTTGAGTCAGAGTCGTGAGTTTATGCTCACTGAGTGGGAGCCCTCTCGTCTAAATGTAAGACTCACTCAGGTTAATTGACCTATCAAAAAAGTCGCCCTTAAAGACAGGTGGTCCCGGGACAGTGGTGGTTTTTGGGAATCGATGGGTCCGGAAGACTCGAACGTTCAAGGACAGCGTCATTTGAAATCTAAAAGCGAGGGATGGTCATTTTGGGCACAGAAACATATTTGGAGCATTTGTTGGTAATCAAATGCATTTTTGCTACCTTCAATGACCTCAAACAAAACCTATTCGATATGACTGAGTTTGGAAAGGATTTCACTTTTGTTTCGCATGGATAATATGTGATATTCAACTATTTATCAGATACGAAAGAATGCTGGGAATCATCTGGAACGTATGGAAATCACTAGCCCCGATAGAATAATAATTTTCCCATCATTTATGCATATCTCTACATAAGTGTTCGCACGAGAAACAAAATTATCGATGAGTCGGCAGTGCTCGTGAAGACTAAGGATTGATTTGCAAACAGCAGCACCGATCCAAGACACACAAATCACTCATCGACTCAAAAACAACGTCGGACGCTACCAAACGCAGTAATGCCGGTCAATACGGAAACATCGAAAGGGTCGGGAACCTAGGGATATTTCCTCATTTGGTAAGGTAGCCAATAAATTGATAACTCGATTTTCAATCTCACTTGGTTTCGGAGGAAGTAGAGTTTGGTCGTACTTCTCGGGCCTATGCTATAGGATGGGTTATCGGGTATGTACGAAAATTGATGCGACATAAATATGATTTTGAATGGTGATTACGGTAAGAATAGTGACGGTACCTCCATTATTTGCTGAGAGCAGAGCTTTTGGATTAAACTCCAGCTTGGGTGACCAACTTTTTCATCTCCCAGGGTCGAATATCCCCGATGGCCGACATTTTTTGCCAACGCCGACGAG